AGTATAAGGACATTTTAAAGATTGACTGAGACAGAAAACATCTCTTGAATCTGCTTTTTATCATCTAAAGTTTTATTTTCTTTCACTTTTGTAAGATACATCTTTTAGCCGTTTCCTATGTTCATTAGAGCCAAAGCTCTTCATAAAATGTCAGATTCCATATTTTGGTATTTATGTAGATTAAACCCCCATTAAATCCCCATAAGAACCCTTCAAGTTAAGTTAGGCTTAAAGAGAGAGAGAAGGCTGGCTCAGGGCACATACCTCTAAGGATTCTGGGATATCCGATTGGAGGAGCCAAGGCCATTTGTGATGAAAGCTCCCTGTTAAATCAAGCTTTCCTTCTGTCTTTTGCATTTGTCCTTCAACAAATATCCAATAGGAACCATACTGGACCTTCATTGTTATGTTCTTGACCTCCAGAAGCATCACAGATGACTTCACAGCCAAGCATTCAAGTTTTGGGAACAAGAGATAATGCCGCATTATTAACAACCCATTTCTTCCTCTGTTTTTCTCCCATTTCCCTCCCATCCCCTTGGCTTTTCTGTTGCCCTTTTGTGGCATGCAAAGAACATGACTCGATCTCAATTTAATGCCCCAAGTCGTCAAGTGAAACAGAAACTGCCAAGAGCCTGGGGGCCCTTCTCACCCTGTTACACCAATCGATCTACATCCACTGTTGTTTTTTACTTCCTCCCAAGACAGCTATAACAACCCTTTTTGAAAAAGCAAGGCTGGTTCTACTTTCAGACAGATATGGTAGACACTTCAGCCATGCCCTGTCCATAAGAGTATCTAGAAATAAACCAAGTACCTGTAGCTCTATTTTGTCTTGCATCCAAAATCTCTGCAAAGTCTCTAAATTATGCCCAAACTTGTAGCCTAGAAACACATGGTCCGGCTTCTGTATAAAAACCAACTCTTCTGTTATCTATTTTTTTTTTTAAAGGAGGGAGAAATACGTTAATAAGGGTTGTCTTGAACCAAGGCTGTTGCAGATATTAAAAGTTGGCTAGAACACAAACATTTCATATTGTGGAGACCAGAATTGTTTAGGGATCCCCGAGAGAGAGAGAAAGAACAAGAGAGACATCTCTGAAATTCAGCTTTCTCAATTTAAAATGAGATCACTGCAACACCGTGGGGAAATCTATCTGAATGGTTCATGGCAAATATAAAGTTTAAACTGGAGAAAAATGCAAGATGGGCATTAAATAAAACCTTAGAATTGAGTCTGACTTCTGGTGACTGTTAAGGGCCCAACCGTGTAACTTTCTTGGCAGCAAATACAGATCCAGGTTGCCACTGTCTTCCTTCAAGATGTTCTTTGACTTTCCAGTATAATTTTGCAGTCTGGGGATTCACTGGTTATCTCCCATCCAAGCACTAAACAGGCTTGGTCCTGCTGAGCTTTCAAGCTCAGATTAAGTCAGCCAAGGGCTACCACTGTATTGTGCCGAATTAGAGGAAGAACCAGGCCCTTGAAAGCCTCTGAGAGATCCAGGGGCAGAATGATACACCCAGCCGGTTTATCCTCATTCCATCTCTTTCATTGTTTGCCTATTT